ACTATAATAATATAATTATTATTATTATATTAATAATATAATTATATTATTAATATATTATTATAATATATATTAATAATATAATTAATATTATATTATTATAATATTATAATAATATTATTATTTATTGGCCTCCAGAATTCTGGAGGCTCATGAAATTTTAATAATTTTAATATTAAAGTTATTATAATTTTAATTATATTATTATTATAAAATTATAATAATTTTATAATATCATAAAATTATATAATATTATAATTATTATAATAATAATTTATTATTAGAATGATATAATTAATAAATTATTATAATAATAATTATTATATTATTAATATTTAAACTATATATTATTATATATAATAATAATATAATTAATATTTTATTATTAAAATATTATAATAATATTATTATTTATTGGCCTTCAGAATTCTGGAGGCTCATGGCCCAGAATTAACATGAAGGCCTCCATGTTGAGCCTCCATAATATATTATTTTTTAAAATTGATAAAAAATTAATTATTTTATATTTTTTAGTACTAATATATTTCATCATTCAAAAAAAAATCATAAAAATATATTACTTTATAAAAATTATATTTGATAGATTATATAATTTTAAAGCACAATCTAACATATTAAAATTAAAATCATTTCATGATAAAAATGAAATGGTAATAAAAACCCATTTCTCGAAAAATAAATATATTCATTTGTTAATATGTTTGGTCTTCATTTTTTAAAATTTATTTTTTTTTAAACATATTTTCAATCATATATTTATGGAATTAACATTTTTACTCTTGAATTAACCCCTTCAATAAATTATTATTTAAACGGTTTGTAAACATTTTTATTGATATTATATTTTAGTCATCCAAATGGTTATTATATACTTTTACGTACATATATAAAAATAATGTTTTTATTTAAACTTATTTATGTGCTCAAAAATAAACTTTCTAAAGATACATGGCTAATAGCGTGAGAAAATGGTGAAAGAGATATTGTGGAGAAATAGAAACATGATTGTAGCGTGTAAAAATGAAGAAAGAGTAAGTCTCCATTATTTTATGTATTTTTATTTTAAGAATATTAAAAAAATTAAGTTGATTAAATGAAATTAAATTATTGTACTGAAAGCCAATGAAAAAATAAATAAAAAATAAAAAAATGCACGTTGAGGGCCTCCGTAATAACGGAAGCTCATACTTGAGCCTCCATATTATGGAGGCTTTATTTCATCCGTATTATGGAGGCTTTGCTCCATAATATATATATATATATATTTTTTAATATATACCAAAATTATTATTTTTTAAATGTTATTGGCATGATGTGTGTGTGAAAGAATATTTAGCAATCACCATAAACAAAATTCTTCACAAAATGCAAAAAAAAAAAGAAAAAAAAAGGTATAATAAATCTTCTTATTAAGCTAATAAAATTACAAAATTTTTTTTTTTTTTTTTTACAAATAACATAAACATTTATTTTTATTTTCAACAAAAAAACACATTTAAAATTTAGCAATTTCATAACCACTTAATTTTTTTAAATTTTCGAAAATAAAATTATAAAAAATGAAACAATATTGAATTAAAACATTTAATACTTAAGAAATTCAATATTAAATAAATTTTATACATTTATAATAAATTATAAATCCATATATGCAGTTTACCGTATTTGCATTTTACCGTATTTTGCTCCTTACCGTATATGCCGCCTACCGTAGTTGCAACTTACTGTATTTGCAGTCTACTGTATTTGCAAACAACTTACCGTATTTTCACCTTACCGTATATGCTGTCTACCGTATTTGCAACTTGTTGTATTTTTATATACCGATTTTTGCACTTACAAATATTGAGAATGCAGAACACTGTACATTCACTTACCAAACCGAATTTCAAAATTTTTTCCAGATTCTTATTTTTTCAATATAAGCATAAAACAAATATTAAATATATATGAAGCACAAAATGTAAATACATATGAATATGGTGCCGAGAGAAATTAGTATCATAGTTTTACGTCACAAATATTTTTTTTTCAAGTTAAATTTTTTTTAATTATTTTCTCTTCAATTTTTTTACTTACAAGTAACTTTCTGTAAAATATTATTTGTCTTATACTATCTTTATTTTTAAATTTTTTGGGAGGTATGAAAATTGCGTGTTGCAGTGTTTTCTTACAGTATAAATATTTTTTAATTAAAATTGAAAAAATTAAGTTTTTTCATAAAAAAAAAAAGAATTAAAAAGTATTTTAAATCGAAAAAAATATTTATAATATGAATAAAACAAATAAAAAATAACTAAATGAGGAAAAAATATAAAACGAAAAAGAAATCTCCATGCGTCATGTGTTAATGTAATGAAGCAAACAATTAGACTTTACCAAATACTTCGAATTTTCAACCAATTTTGAAAAATCTACAATTTTGACACTAATAAAAATACAATAAGTACAAAACTCATGCAACGCACGTATCAAAGACTAGTAATTGTATACAGAATTATATTAAAGGGGAAATATTTTGAAAGTCGTAATTTTTGTCAATTTTCGTGACCTCTGTATATCTTATTCACATTCCTCAATTGAGGTTGAGTAATCAAGAAACATCAATTTTGTTAAAAAGAAATTAATGTCACTGTCGAGTCATCGTCTCTATAAAACCCACACAAGCAAACTAGTCCATACAAAATGGCCCAACTACATGAACAACCCAATTAATGTAATTACAGCTCACAAAAGAAACAACCCACTGTCACCAGTCCACACAGTACACAACCCACAAAATTCGAACCAAAATCACTAGAAAATACCAA